GCCAGCTCCACCCACTGAGCTAACTGGGCGCCCTATGCACGTAACTTAAAAGAAGTCAACTTTGACTTTTGGTTTCACATGGAACCTACAGCATCATATTTTGAAGCAGAGAGCTGACCAAGCAGCAGCATTTGATGACTTGGGAGTGAGACTGGGCTGGACTATCATGCAGATCATAATTGCATGATACAGACGGTTCCACTTTTTCATTAGTCCACAATCTGCACTGCTTGTGGCAGTGAAGACAAAAAGTAAACTAATGGCAAAGTCTAAGCCAAATAGAGCCATGTATTCACATTCAAAACATGTGGGACAAAAAATACAACTGTGACTTCACAAAAAAATATGTTATAATTATGCTGTTTTGAAATTATGGCTTGTGTCAAGACTGCAGAATGTCTCTGTTGGCTGTATTCAATTAAAAAATAATAATAGGCCGTCACAGTTCATGTCCAATAGCTCATTGTTCCTGGTTTTTCCCGCTGCCACCCTCAAGCTACACTCCCACACACCCGCTGCCTGAATTAGGGAAATAGTTTCCACTATGTTTCATTTTGAGGACCTCCTATTTGGCACTTCCCTGGTTTACTCCTAGCCAAGCAAACTGAAGCGGTTATGTATATGCTGGAATTATAAGAAAATTTGAAAAAATATAACCCAGAGTGTGATTTTCTCTAACTTCGGCACTATGACATTTGTCTTCATGCTTGAGTCAGTAGAAGTCTCAAAAGAGACTGACAAGAATCCTTTCTTACTGCTCCTCAGTCCGCTGTGTGTCTGACTTCAGCCGAGCTTTCGTCATCCCTCTTGCTGCATCTCTTGCAATGTCAACCTGTCTATCAGCGCTCTTTCATCTCCTGTCTCTCTCTTTTACCTTGTGCCTTGCTTCACTCTTTCATTAACTTTTTCACCGTAACTGACATTTTTACATTGTGCTGCTTTCAAATAATTCACAAATGCTTTCTACTGACATTTAGCCTTTTTCTGTACCTTTGTGAAACCACTTTTTTTCTTATCAGGCTTACTTATGACATGCATTGAGATGTGTTGATTCTTAATGTTTGTGTGAAAGAACACTATCGCTGTCTTCTCAAATGATTTCATGTCATGAATCTTGCTGCACCTTCACCTTGAGCCAGATGCAATTAGGTGTTGTTGAGCACATGAGATGCTGCTCTTTTCTAATTGCCTTGTCATGGCTGAGATGGGCCTTTGTGATGAGTGTCCCATACTTCATTATGCTGCCTCTCAAATAGGTTAAAAAAAAAGAAGCCCTGGCAGTGTCTTTTTTCAAGCCACAGCAAGTGCAAGTTTGTTGTTAGCCTCTCTTTTCCTCTCAACTTTCCTTCAATTACCTGGAAGTTGATTTAACCCACTCCAGCTGCAAGATGAGTTGCTGCTGCACTTCAGGAACGATCCAATTAATTTTAATATATTGGGCCGAGGCCAGACAATTGACCAAAGCGAACAGAGTAAATTCAATATATCAATTCAATCCAAAGCCACCCTTCCTTTGTTTAACTTATACATTGTCGTCTTAAGGCTCTACCTCCCCCCCCCTCCCCCTTCTCTCAATCCCTTCTTTCATTTATTGTCCCGCCTGGGACCCTTCACCTTTTTTTTCTTCCTCATCTCACTCCTTCAACTTCCATTCTTAAGGCTGCCCCCACCCCACCTTCAGGGGAATCTCCTTCTTTCTTGAACCCCAGTGCATACTAGCTCTGTCACCCTCAACCCTCCCTTTACACCCACACTGGGGGCAGCCAGATATGTCGGAGCTGGCAGTACACTCAAAGCAACAAAGAACACCAGCAGAAGCCCAACAAAAGACACCTCTTTACAGTGTAATGTGAGTAAATGCATACAGATACATACATACTTTATGTAAGTGTGTGCATTTCTGCACTCATACAGACAAACCAGTTAAAAGGTAGATTGACCAAACGATAGTCTGGCACAGCAAGGGAGCCTTCTTGTCAAGATTGACGTGACATTTTCCCAAGAGATGAAAACAGACATCAGAGGTCTCAAAGGAGTAACGTAGAGGTGAAGTGAAGCAGCGAGGGGAGAAAGAGAAAGAAGTGAAGGGCAGCGACAAGGTGCTGGAGGAAAGAAGGAAATGGAAAAAGTAAGGATAGAAACAAGAGTGGTGATTTACAGAGGAGAGATTAGGAATAAGTGTGACTGAGCACAAGGCTGGGAGGAAGGCCAAGTTGCGAGATGGCAGATGACAGGTGGGATGATGGACAGCGAGGGAAATAAATGAGAAATGAACAATGCAGACAAAACAAAAGGGAGAAACATAGAATTCTATTTTCTCAACGAGAGGAAGAGCAAAGGAAATGATGTTCAAACATGCATTTGGCACTGCATAGGAAGCAGCATGAGTACAGATAAGACTGTGATGACATCACATAGCAGAGAGAGAGAGAGAGAGAGAGGAGGGGGGAGCAATAAAGTGTAGGATTTTCATGCTTAACGTCTGTCTGCAAGTCTCCAAAAGGAATCCCTAACTCTCTCCAAGTTCACCTACTGGGTCACAATCTGTTTGAGGGATGACTACTAACTTTAGCTGGTACTAGGAAACTATCCTGCAAAGCAAACTCATTCATTTCAGCAACATCTGTATTTCATCACAATAAAGTGATGTGTACATGCGAACTGTAGGCTACTTGCTGTTGCAAACTGATTTCTCCCTGCAACTTTTGGAAGAAACCAATATGAAAGGGAAAGAGCATGTGTGACTTTTTGACACAATTAGAAGACTATGTTTGATTTATAAACAGTAAAAGCAATAAAAAAATAATAAAAATATTTAAAAAATCTGAGGCATGTGCCCCCCTAGCCTGAGTAGGCATGACACCACTGGTTAGAGCTTATGAAGAACAAATATTTGCCATCTAGAGTAAAACAAGGAGAAATAGAAAAATTAAAAAATGAGAAGATACCTCTTGGTTAAGCAGAAGGACGTTTTAATCAG